TAATGCTAAACATACCTTTGTAGAATTGGTTGAAACTTATTTTCAGCCCTATTTTTATTTGTTGAATTATAGACCAAGATAGTGTAGTCTCTCTCTCTCTCTCTCTCTCTCTATATATATATATATATATATAATATAAATCTATTGTAAATAAAAAGTTGTAACTTTCATGTTTTGTTAGAATTAGGGATGCGTCTTTTTATATCAATTGTCTTTGATTAGTCGTGACTGCAAAAGAAATAGTTGTAATGGAGTTTCCACTTTTCTCGTTGTACCATTTATTAAATATGTGCAAGAATTAAACACTAGACTCGGTCTTTGCCCCTTCTGCTCTGGCAACAATAGTCCACACAGCACACCACATTTACCTCTGTCTACAAGGAACAAATATTATGTTGGCAATTTTCTAATATGACAAATAAACAGAGATACAATTCTCACGGAAAATTTTATCTAGTCTTATGGATGTGTAAGTGAAGATTTTTTTTTTTCCCTTGTTCTTTTGGTAATGATTTGAAGCAATTTGCAAATAATCCAATACATACACAAAGTCTGCCGCCAGCACATAATTTATATACTCAATATTGGTATTTCTCTAATGCAGATGGATCAAGGATTTGATGGATCAAGGATTCAAATCTTGTTAGGCTAAAAGGGAAATCAGGGAGGAAAGTTCTGACGTCATTCATCCATTTAATTAGGGAATTCGAGCCCTGTACGAAATCCCACAGCTGGATAAAAATTAAGGGCCTTGGGATCAGATCATGAAATTGTCAACTGGGATACCCTCACACACCATTCCACGCTTTCTGATTAATTATAAGATGTCATTTGTTTAATTAACTTAGCTGCCTCCTCCAATGTTGAGAAGACATGAACTAAACAAGATTATGCAGTTATTCTGAGATGGCTGTGCATGTAACCTGATCGAGATGCATTGATTTCTTCCGGCTCGGAGCTTATTATGGGAGCTTAAGCAATTGGTACGTCGAAGTATATATGATAAAGATTTTTAAATTAAATTCTTAATTACTGCGTTATTCCTTTAGGAACCTAAAAATTGCAAACTGACATTGGGATTGATCAGTATAAGCTTCTAACGTTTGATGAGAATTTGGTTTGAGTGTGAATATATCCAAGTCCATCATCTTGAGTACGTTGTTAATTAATTGCTATCATTTGGCTTGAGTCCAAATGCAGTTAACTGTTATCATCTTGAGTTGTTTAATCTTGTTGATCAAAGTAGTCTTAATGGGCTTAATATTATTAATCAATCACGTTTGGTTTGAGCATAAATCCCAAGTCTATCACGTCTTCATGCAATTCGTATCCATGTTTTAGTTGGACTGGTTGATCTGGTGGATAAATCTCCATGCCTGTTGACCATTAAACTTCAAAAAGCACGAGCTAGCTAGGCTGTTGAAGCATGAATCTGATCTGACCAATAAAAATCCCAAATTCAAGAAAGAGTTCTACTGCTAGTAACAGGAAGAGGAAGTGACAATGGAGAAAGAGAAGGCTCACTTACACAAATACGTATAACACCAAATCATCCTCTAATCGGATTATCTACGTACCATATTTATTGCTCATCACATGATTAAAAGAAAAAAATAATACCCCACCAGAAAGAAGAAGAAGAAGAAAAAAAAAACCTGAGATTCAAGAAGAAGCAAGAGTTCGTTGAAATCTGTCTATCCCACTCTCTTGATTAATTAGTAGCAGTTGGATGGAAAGAGACGACTTTCACAGGAAAAGATGTGTGAGCGTGGACTTAGAGGAAGAGCAAGCGTCGCCGCAGCAAATTCCCACGTTGATTATTCTATGCTATATATAAGACAGTCCAATGAGCACTTGGAAAGAAACAAAACCAGGAAACAGTTCATAGTTTGTAAATCGATTCCAATTCTCTATCTCTCATGCATGCACACATATACATATTGTCTACTTAACCAAGGAGGTTGTTCCACTCTCGATCTTGAGCTTCTTCTTGACCAAGGTCTGATCCTTCTTTTTAGATACTTCATCATATAAATACCTATGGATCTAGCCGGCCTTAATTAAAAATGATGAGCCATCTTAGTGGAACCGTGCAAGTCCCTAAAAAATCCAGCAATAAATTAACTGGCGGAGATCCCCATTGCACTTTGTACCGGGAACCCTCCAGGAAAGTGTGGTGCGTCGAGAAATCTAATTTTCAAATAAGATTATAATATTGAAATCCAAAATTAATATGTTTAACAAAAGACAGCAGTAGTGTTTTTTGAAAATCAGCTCTCTGGAAAAGACGTTTCATAAGATAAAGAATCGTTAGTTTTTTCTCGAGTGTAGGTTCTGTATTTATACGCCCAAAGCCCTATATCATATGTCCTTGTATGTGTGTAAAATTGGCCACGACTCAATTACCTACATTATCAGCTAAGCGAGGGAGATAATCCAAGAGAAAGTATGATTACAAACAATCAAGTATTGGTTGAAATTAACTCCAAATCTGAATTCAACAACTTTCATATGACACTATACTTATGCTTTGCTCTTTTTTCTTTTTTTCTTTTTTTTTGTTGATGCGATAAATTCTATATTATACTTGCTCCTACTCTATACTAGGAGGGAGGGGATGCGTGGATCCAAATGGACTAATGAAAAATTCGAAGAAGATTGAACCGTCATCGGACCAAATCGGTGTTTCTGCACCCAAACCAAACCGGCTGGTGAAACTTATCCTGCAAAAAAGATGCAAATCAAAGGATTTGATGCCTTGACTGCATCCAAGAGGTTGGTTAAATACTTAGGCTTTAAAGGTGTTGGTTAAATGCAACTGCTCTCTGAAGGTAGTTGGTTGGTTAAATACTTAAGCGTCTTCTAAGCAAAAAGATTCTTTGTTTAACCTGTCAAGTACTCGGACAGTAAAAGGTGATGTGTCCACTCTAAAACCTGTCAAGTTGCTTGGTGAAAAGACATTTTACCAAATGAATAAAAGCCCATTGGAAGAGAGGATATCATTAATTTCTCAAAGACTATAAATAGTCCGTAAAACGTTGCGTTGCCATCAATTTCCTGCCTTCATTTAGATAAACGATTTGTTTATTTTCACGGGGTTAAACAGATTTGTCCTTTGTAATATTTCCAAGGAAAATTCATAGACTCTCCCAATGTGGCGTACCTAACGGCCAAGTTCATGACTTTTGTAGTGCGGGATTGACCAATGTTGTATGGCGTCGTGCGTCTGTATGTCCGCTTCAACATCAAATAGTTTCATCTCATACATCGAATGAGAGAGCTGAGCTTGACCATTTCACCATATGGAAGATAGAAGTCAAGCCACCATGCTGGCTCCTCTCCTTTTTCTTCCTCCACCGCACAAGACATGGCAACATGACAGGTTGGGCAAAAATGGCTGATATCTATGTACTGGCATGGTATGTATAAAAGTCCCATTGGATAAATAATACTGTCCTGTCCTGTCCTATATACAGTAAAGAAAGGCTTTTTTTTTTTGTAGATTTCAAACAATTATTATTGTTCTGGCACAAGCTAGATTTATATTCATAGGCAGCAAGCATGTTAGGAAACAAAAAAAAAAGGACAAAAAGGAAACCATTTTTGGGCAAGGAAGTCAATCCGTCTTTCAAATGCAATCCAAACTCCAAGTGAAGTCAATAGCGTGATTCATAGCCTGTTCTAAGCATGATACATTAATAATCCTATAGTTTCATATCATGGAGGTATCTTTCATACCCATTCCCTTTCGTCACCACCCAGAATATCATATTTGTATTCATGTGCATTTTTAAACTGTTCTAGTCAACTTGTCTGACACGGCTTAATATGATTCCAGATGACTTGATCTTCCTTTATTTTCGGCATCGTTTTGTCAACATGACGACCGCAAGAATGAGCAGACGCTAGCTACATCAACGAATATGATCATCCTTTTTTAATTTCTTACAGTTGTAAAGTATTTTCTCTTATTTGGAGTCATATGTAAAAAAAACAAAAAACAAAAAAATGCATGGACTCTTTTTTTATTGTTATTTCAAATTAAAGTTGCTTGAGAAATATTCTTCCATACCCATTTTAAATCCTTATTTTATACATTAAAATTCTCAAAATCACGAGTTATTCCAGTAAAACAGAGAGTAAAAAAAATTCAGAAAAAATTATAAAGCACATATGCAGTTCGCTAAAAGAAAAAAGGGGATATGGAAAGACTCCTAGTATTCAGTTTCTTTTTTTAATTATATAATTAAAAAAAAAAAAAGAAGTGGGAGTTAATCAAGGACCAATCAATTCTTGGGGACTGAGATATGTTAGAGTAGTATTTTGCATAAAGAAAGAGAGAAAGTATAGTTGACCCGACACTACTGGTTCGTCTTGCCTTAGACCTCTCTACGCTTTTTGCCAATATCAAATTTCGATCCAAAGAGCACTTGCAGTTGCACATGGAATGAATGCAAACCTTCGAGTGACGAAGAAACGTTTTGGATCGTCGCCATTTGCTGCCATCTTCCAAGTTTCGTTTCATAAGTTGGGTTTCAGGGACCCCGACACTTCCCAGTCCGCGGCACGTCTAGCCATTATTTTGGACCAGATCTTAATTCGTATTTTTAACTGGCGGGGAATTAAAGGTCTTTTCTCCGTCATAAAGCAACTGAACAGAAGAATTTGGTGTTCTGACGATAGACCCAACTTGGCCTGCAAGTGACCAGAGTCGCAAGGTAATTGTGGCAACGGATCAAAAGATTGGGCTAGCCCAGTTTCATATTTTCTGTTGAAAATTTCCAGAAGATTAAGAGCAAAATGCCAGTACTAGCTTTTTACCATCATTCTCCTCTTTTTTCCATTCCACTCCATTATGTTTACACACCACATTTAACCTCTCTATGCAGCGGCCCGGCATGGCATTGAAAAGCTTGCACTTTTATCAAAAATATCAAACACTAACTAATTGTAGACTTATAAACAGACGAAATCGAGAGAGGGAGACGGCACTTACATGAACCCTTCTAATGCTTCGCCTTCTCCATGCATTAACTTTAGATAATATATAATCAACAGTTGCGGATAAGATCAAAAGAAAGTGAAGATTCCCAAAAACTATTCTTTCTTCTTTTCCCCTTTCTAACCCCCAATAAACAAACCATATCTTATCAATTTGGATTTAACCCTTCCTCAAAACTCAAAACTGATCTACCCACATTTTGCTGCTGCTCAGCAGCAGCGGCAGCAGCATTACAGTAACCTATTCCTATATTTCTCATCCCAAGTCCTAGCTCACAAAATTTCTAAGATCTTATAGCAGGTAAAGCAGCATTTCAGTAAGTCATCATCAGAACCCGACCACCTGTTTCTTATTCCTACCATTCACTTCCCTCAAAATGCATGGATTCTTCTTGCAGTAGCTACCTGAATTTCGCGATTTTCCATCTGAATACTCTAGAAAAGAACAAAAAAGTCAAAAATCCTTAAAAATGCCTCCCCAACTTAATTCCATTAAAACCAGCACTAGTTCAGTAAAATCAAGACTCCAACTTCGAGTCAGATCCAGAAGAAATAGCACCAATAGCACCGTGTGAGCTGAGCAGCAACGGAAACTTCGGTTGCACTCCTTGTAAACTTTTTGAGGACGGCTTTGAATTCATATACTGCCAAGAAAATTACATAGTAGTTTAATATTAAAGAAACTAGGGCACACATAGCTAGCTTGTTCAATGCAAGTTAAAGAGGAGTTCCTATCCACAACCTCCTCTTGACTACTAAAAGCATACTTAATTCTTGGACCCATTACAACCATACCGTACCTTACTCAAATCCCTAAAGAAAGCATTAATCTCCTCCTCCGTAAGACCATCCTCATCGGCATTTTCCTGCCAACCAAGTTGGTGTAAAAATGCAGCCTCTTCCTCCTCTGAAAACAGTGGAAGAGATCTTGACTGGATGCCGAACAAGTCATTCTCAGTATGCTGGCAACCATTCAGGCGGTCTAATGATGGCACATCTTCGTCCTCATGAATAACAGGAGCAGGGATAACTTCTAGTTCACCAGGCTCATCAAGAGTCGAGGCTGACACAGCAGAACCAGCGTCTGCAACAGAAGAAGAGCTCGGCATAGATTTTTTCCTCATAAGATTAAAAAAGTCATTTCGACTCTGAGCTTGAGAACTCGGTTTCTTCTCCAACATCGGAAGGGCATGCTTGCGCTCAGCACCAGGGGAAACAGGATTGATTGCAGGGCCCCTTGAGGTAGCCAATCCAGTCACCGATGTCGCAACAGCAATGCCTGAAGTTGCTGCCCTGGTACTACTTGTTGGGCTCAAGGTATCCTTCGAAGCGGTAGACACACCATTCCGCTCTCTTGGAGGCTTGAGAACAAGAAGCTTTCCAGCATTACTTGTCTTTGAAGCATCTGTTTTAACAGGCCCGCCACGCAATGAAGGACTCAGAAGAGGAGATGAAACTGGATGCTGCGGCTGTCCAGCTTTTGCTTTTCCTTTATCAGAAGAATTCAAAATCTGAAACAAAGGTGTCAAACATTGACCTCAAATGCATGTAGTAGGTGGACTAAATATAGCATTCAAACCACCTAAAGCAATCCTCCTATAATACCATCTTAGTGAAAAATCTACATAGATCAAATCATAACTTCCATTAACAAAATTATAACAACAACAAAAAAGACAATGACAACAACAATAATATTAGACAGTTTCCCATTGAGTATGTTTCCTTATAGTTCATTTTCATTTCATATTAGGAACGGGTTCTACAGCTAATAAATGGAGGACTATGGACAAAACATTATAAGCACCAAATATTCTGCATAGTGGGCCAATAAAAGGTGAGCTGGGCTCCAATTATTTACATCCTCACTCAATACTGGTAAGCGAAAAGAAAGAAATGGAAAATTTCCTTAGCAACCACACCTCCACAAACCATAAACAAACATGGGAATGGGCACGGACTTAATGAAACAACCAAAAAACCAATTGAATAACCACTTCCCTTGCTTTTTCCTTACAGTTCCCATCTCATTCCAAGAAACAAAAAGAAAAAAGAGCCATCTCATTCTATTTCCATGGGTTTGATCGTCATTTAGTGAACTTTAGTGCATCTTTTCCTGCTGTGTTAAAAAACAACGTGCTGAAGATATGTTATCACCTTGGAGGACAACAATGATATTAACTGAATAAAATTTTAAAAAAAAATTATACTTTTTTTTCCTAATGTACAAGATCAAAACATTGATACTATCAAAAAATGGGTGGCTCCACATGCTATGCTATAAATGTCAAGGAAAAAATCTAATGGGTAGAAGTAAGGATTCTACGAATGACAACAAATAGAGCAAACCTACCTTGTCCATGTTGACACCTAGATGTGAAAATCGTGCACACTTTAAAAATTTAGCTATGTGTCATTTGTGTCTAATTAATCCTTTAGGATATTTTGCCACTTTTTATGGCCAAACTCATCATACTTTTCTCTTGGCTTAAATTATTTCATAGGTTTTCACTTTCTAATCTAGGCCTCTTCAATTTTTCTCTAAAGCCTGCACCAAAAAGTAGCTCTATGAAGTCCATTCACACAATAAAATCTGCCAATCCACATGATGAGCACTCAGATATGCAGCACAAATACCCCTAGCTTCTGTACAAAAGGAAAATAAAATGCTGAATTTGGGATAAAAGAAATAGAACATATCAATCAACAATCACTTCACCACAGCTGACTCGACCTTATTTTAAGACACCTGTTGATACTGGAAATGGATCTTCTCATGACACATTCATTCCAAGTCCATTCACCAAAAACCAAACTTAACAGTGATTAATGGACTTGGAATTAATGTGTCATGAGAAAATCCATTGCACAGGCTACCACTTAAAGTAAAACATATCTTACTACACACCAAAGTTCAGAACGGCTAACTACTTAAATTAAGGAGAAAAAATGAGTAATGTATAAAGCTACAACTTCCTGTAGTCCCCTGTCACCTCTATATTCCAAGTTGTACCCAAGTTTATACTGTCCTTATAGCTACTACACAGGTACATGTGAATTACTCTTGAACAGACTTATAAACATACAGGCTGTCAAGCATGACGGCTTTATATAATTTGCCGAACTTGTGAAACAAGAAATAAAGCATAACCTGAATCTGACAGCCACAGAATCTTCTAGTTCCCATCTCATTACTAATTTGCAACTAATGGAATCTATCACACACTTCCCTTCTAACATCACTGTGACCAAGAGATGTGGGCATTCTCAAAATGAATCCTCTCATCGGACAAAACATTAAGAGATGAATTAAAATAATAGCTAGAGAAGATAAACAAAATATAACAAAAGCAATGCAATCATCAGAAAGAAATATAAATAACCAAGCATTCTAACGTCAAGTAAAGAACTCTTACCGACGGTTTAGGCATTGATGGAGTCATTGGAATCAATTGGCGAGACTGTCTTATAGCCAGTTCTTCAAGCCTTTGTGTTCCGGAAGTTATCTGGATTATAGAAAGAAATAGCATAAGCAACAAAGAATCTGAAGAATGCCTGAGAAACAAAGAAGCTTCAAAGGTACCTTTGGAGCAGCTTGAACACGAGGACCCTGAGCAACAGTTTCAGCCATATTGAGACCAGCGGAAGTGCTTGAGGGCAAAGAAGCAGGAGAACTAGGCAGCGAAGCTTGTCGCCCAGGTGAAAGTCCAGTACCGCCACCTCCAACAATTGCAGGAACCTCTGCCAGAGCTGAAGTCCATTTATCCCCAGCAATGATAGCTGAGGCACTAATTGGCAAACCATGAATGGCAGTATTTAATCCTGGAGAAGGGACTCTTCCTACCTCAGAAGTTGCTTGTCTTTCTTCTGATCCAAGGGAAGGAAAATCTCGTTCAAATACAACTTTGTGTACAGTGCCAACTGAATCGCCCTTATCAAGCAGGCTATTTCCATCAGTACTTTTGTTTCTACTGGCAGAATTTGAGTCAGCTATTGATCTTTTAGGCCAAATCTCATTGCGCTTCCGAGAAACCATTGACTGAGAACGCCTTAATCCATCCTTCTCAAAATTGCCAGGAAAATTATTGACGGGTGGATCTAAATAATCCCGGTGCTTATGGCCTCCAACAACTAAGTTATCTCTATCACGAGGCTCATACAGGTCCTTATCCCAATCCCTACCACGGTGATTCCTCCCAAAACTACTGTAAGACTGCATCTGACCAGAACCATTACTACTGGAACTCCGGCGAAAATATGATGCGGAAGTTCGATCGGAAACAGATGATCGCCCTATTTCATGATCATTATGATTGACCGAGGACTTGTTTCTAGCAAGTTTTGATACAGCATGATCATCTATAACAAACAAAACTAAGATATTGACATCATATTACATAAAATACTTATATTTAAGAACAACAAATCACTAAACAAAAGCTTACAAAAACTTTACCTGATGGTGAAAGTGGATGGGATGTTGCCCCACTTCCAGTTGCACTTCCGCAGCTTTTCAACCATTCTGGAACTAATGAGGGTTCACTTCTTTCCATAGCTGACACAGCACATGTTCATGAAACTAAAAGGAAAAAAACCAACTTCTCTTAAATTCCCAACAGCTTCCGCATGTCCGACCACATTTCCCCTGACAATCCTAACTGTCTTTGTAAAATTCTAAAAAATGCAACACCAATTTCAGCCTATTCTAACCCCAAAAGCCCCTCAAACGCATGGCTTATCTTTAACAACCAAATTATTAGAATTGTCAGCACAACATCTTTATCTCAATCCTTCCATGGCTACAATATAACAAAAGAATCTGAACTGTTCTATTAACAATAGCTGGGTTCCGCCTCTATGCACTGTCCACCTATGTATTTAGTGTAAGCCAGTCGAGTGGACAATAGCTCGACTAGGTTTCAAAAACCAAGAACAAGAAAAACTCCTTTATCTATCTGTTATATCAGTGCCCAAGGCCAACTGTTTGATATTCAACAAGGGCTTCTCAAGGCCGCCATATTTCCCCAAAAACAAAATAACAAGTACCCTGAATCACAACCAAGACAGTAATGGGCCTTTCCGTCATGCAAAACAACCACAATAACGATTCCTTCTTGGGGGAAACTAAAACCCAATGAAGAGAATAGCAAAAATAATCAAACCCTAGGCACCAATATGATCAAAAGAAATAAATATCCCCTCTTTAAAACCCTAAGGACAATAACAGTCCAGTTATACCAGGAAAAATGTATAAGAAAATTTCAGATTATCGTGCCTAAATTCGTTAACAAAGTAACAGCCGGGCTGTTGACAATTAAGGAAAAAACTGATGTGTATACCCCGAAAGAGTCTGGTAAAAGAACGATACTGCGCCGTTTTGGGTCTGGGCAGACGCCGCCTTTGTTGTTTTCTGCCGTTCTCAGGCTATGGGAGTTTCTGGAAGGATAGAACAAGAAAGCCCAGGAAGAGTTGTGTTCACCTTCTTTGTTTTTCAAAAGAGGGAAGAATATAGTAGTATTATGCAATATTTGGCGGAGGCTTTTGGTAGTTTTAGAGAGAGAAAGTTGCAGTAGTGGTAAATGGAGAGAGAGAGAGAGAGAGACGCCGGGAGAAGGATTGGGAGGGCTTTGTTGTTGGGGAAGACGAAAGAAAGATTTTATCTGTGTATTGTGTATTCGTGTGACACAGGAGAGAAAGAGAGAAACAATGAAGACTGATATGTATTTATATATTTTTGAGCAGGTAAAATGCTGTGATGTTTTATATTATAAATCATGTGAATACGAAGAAACTTTTTATCTTTTGGATTCCAACCAAAAAAAAAAAAAAAGAGTTAAGGTTTCCTGTATTTTATTTCAACTTAAACTAAGGAATTCGACATCCCTATTTTTGAGTACGGTGAGTTGGGGAAACAAGTATTTTGAACTCTTAAATTGTACTAAATTTAATTATTTAAAATTCAAATCACTTGTGTCATTGAGAAAAAAGAAATTAAGCAAATGGTTTCCGATGAATGGTGGAATTTTTGTAAGTTTAGCATGAATTATGCAACCGAAATCCAAAACTTGTATATATATATATTTTTTTTACTCTACTTCCTTGGTGTAAAATTAGTGTTTAAGGTTTAAACGAAAACAATGATGAATATACTTAAATTTTAGAAATTTAGAAGTCTTAAATCTAATAAAATGAATAGTTATTAGAGTTTATCTTGTATATACTCGCAGCGTAGTGCATATACTCACAGCGTATCATCCTTAAATATATGTCACGTACACAAAAAAAAATGATATTCGATTCAAATTGAAATTAATTAAGGATGAAAATGTGGACGCTCGAGATTGATTCTACTTATTGTTCTAAAATTGCTTGCTTGAGCAGTTTTGTTGTTGATGTTAACTTGCTAAGGGTACCTATGGTTAATCTACGGCTCATTTGTTTGGTTTTGCAGCTCATCGTGTCATTCCTTGTTTAGTTGGCTTTGAAACTTTCAACAACGCTCCAAGTCCAACCAAATGATTTTGCACCTTTGTCACTTCTTGTGCTTATGGAGTAGTTTAGTGAGCAACCTATAATCTACACCAATTACATGCTTCTCTGCACTTCTACCTTAGATTCTTTAGTTTTTACTTATTGCTTAAGTTATAGAGAAATACCCTGGCATTATCAAAAAAAAAAAAAAAGAAATACCCTGGCGGTATAAATTGACCCGTCCATGGAACATTATTATTATTATTATTATTATTTAATTATTATTATTATGTGCCTTAACAGATGGTAAATATCTCAAGAATGAATACTGAATACCTCATCTCATCTACACTTTCCAAAAAGTAGCAAAGTATTTGACCAAAAAACAAAGAAATTTCCCAAAAGTATGTCCTTGTATAATAAATTAATAACGTGTTAGCAGTGTGGTTGTCTGCACCGTAAGCAAATTGGACACCAACTGGCAACTGACTCAGCTCCTCATCTAAAACTTCTTTATCTCAAATGTGGAACTAGAATTATGGGTTCAAAAAAAGAAACACTAATAGGATAAATCTTTGCTCAGACTTTAGTGGAATTTTTTTTTTTTTTTTTTTTTGTCATCATCATCTTGTCTATATTATCTTACTACTTTAAAAGGAAGATCCTACTGAACTTATGGGGATCAATGGAAACTGAACCACAAATCCGATCAGTTTGATGCACTGTGCACTCATCTGAATATTTTAGAAAAGTCACGTATTGTGACAATCGGTGAAAAGTAAAAATTGAACACTTGATCTCCCACTCTATCATATTATGCGCACTTAACGTGCTCGGGCCCGGTTGGGGTGTCGGGACCGGACCGCAGAGAATTAGTCGGACCCTGTAAGAATTGACCCGAACATCCCTGTGACAAAAAAAAAAAAAAAAAAAAGATCTCCCACCCTATCAAGCCTCACGACAGAGGCAGTGGTTCAGAATTTAGTAGAAATTGTCCGGTGGCTTTTAGTTTCAGTTACTCCACGTCACTTATGATCTCTTCAAATGGTAAGGAATCAGTTGTGTACGGACAGGGGTTCGCAATTCAAAATGTTGCTGTTCTATAGTTCTGATTGCGTTACAAATAATTATCGAGCACTTCATCAATAGCAGTTGCACGTACTGTAAATAAATGTGAGAGGAAAAACATTAGTCTAGTCACTTGCCCCCCGCATTGAATATAACTCAAAGAAATTCTACCGCATTTATGTATTTACTTTTTGTTTCTTTACAAATTGAATCAAGCAACATTGGCCAACTTGGTAAGCAATATAGCTAAGTCGGAGTTTTTTTTTTTTTTTTTTTTTTGGGGTTTGATAATTTATTCTACACAAATTAAGAAAAAGGAAAATAGAATACAAGTACCATCATGTCTTATGGTAACACGGAACTTCGTGCTGTCCTTTTACGCATGAAGGTAAGTGAATTAAACGTCAATCAAATGATGTACATAAAAATTATTCTATCATGTTGGATGTAGGTTTGTTTAGTCAACTGCAGAGAAGATGCCTAAAATTCATGGGGGAAAAAGTAAAAAAAAAAAAAAAAAAACTAACAAACACCAAAGATAATAAATTGTAGATGCATACAATTTATGTACGCGCGTGTGTGTGTGTATATATATATAATATATGTGCAAATATGTCAAAAAGGTTTACTAGTTTAGGAAAAATGATGAATAATGTGGATTCACGTAGCCATATGGTAATTTATAATTTTATATCATGCAAGTCAAGGTAGTTTGAAGACGAGTTTGATGATGAATAACATCACACCTCAAGTGCGAGGAACTATATTAGTCTATTTTTTTTTCATGAAATTTGGAAAATTGCCCAAACCCTTGATAAGTATCCAATGCTCCACTAATGAATGTATTATGTATTTATTATAATTCTACATTCTCCTCTTCTTTATATATATATATATATACATACATACATATATATATGTTTCCCATCTATTTCGACTTTTAATTAATTATAGATTATGATTTTGAATTATCAATTTTTGTATTGTTCTCGAACAAAATCATCCTTTTAGTTTGTTTTTGGATTATTGACTCAAATTGCACGCATGGGCTGTCGTAAATCCGGTAAACCTAACAAGGAGGATGGATGGAGATAGTTCCCAGATTGTCTCATTAAACAAAAGCCCAATTAGCACTAGTTAAATGGGCCTCTTAGGCGCTTGTGCATGCTCATAGCCCAGATTCTGTCCTTGGCCGCTGGCTGTTGGCGTTGGGCAGTCCCAACTGGCCTTTATTCTCGTCAACTGGCCACGTGGCACCACCCATTCACTTTCTACTGTTTCCCTCCACTTGCCTTTTTGCACTTTTTTTCGTCTTTATCAACTATACTCGTCAAATTCAAAAAGAAAGTGTTAAATTAATTATGAGAGGAGTACCAGCAGAAGCACCAGCACCAGCACCAGCAGAAATAATGGGAAAGAAACCCATTAAACCCGTTTACTTTGCTAGCTGCCATTTTATAAGACGTTCTCCGAGTCACCGCCGTCTCTTCTGAATTTCTTCTTTCACTCATCCTCAGCGTCGCCGTCACCATTTCATCATCTCTACCTCTTCAACCTCTGCTCCTATTTATGCTTGATTTTCTGGAGGGAGGAATTTATAGGTGAGGCATGAATTATGCAGTGAAGCAGAAGAGAAGTATACGGAAGCTTGATCGGAGAAACGCGACCAAGAACATCGATTATGATGCGTCGGACTCGCCTTCGACGTCGTCTTCATTCGACGAGTCATCGACCCACCGGGGACGATATCTGGACCCGCGCCAGCTGTCTGAGCGGACTAGCTTTAGAATTGAAGGAATTGAAGGCGAGTTTGATCTGATTTGTCGGTCGCTAGGGCTTTCTGGACCTGACGATTTCTCGATTCCGGTCGCCGCTTGGGAAGCTAGGAAAGTTTCTTCTCCTTCGGCCCAAATTAGGAGTTCCAGGTTCCGTGATAATTTCGGTGATAACGATCAGTTAGCCGAGAGTTTTTCTGCTACGGTCGTTCTTAGAGATCAGCTTAAGTGCGACAGCGACTGTGCCGAATTAGCTCAAATTGATGCTATTGTTGGTAAAACAAGTGAAAAAGATGATTACGGAGATGGTAAATTGCTCTACTTGAAAGTCGCCGGAACGGATGGTTGTGGAGATGATAATTTGTGCAATGAAGTTATTAGAGGTCTCAGGCCGCCTAAATTGGCTCCTCCGCCTGTTGTTTCAAGCAGGACTGTGGACAACACTAGTTCAACATGGGATTTATTCAGGGCTTTTGGTCCTCCGGATGATAGGGGTTTAAATGGCTCTAAGCAGAGTAAGGTGGAGAATGGGGTAGCGGATCAAAATTATGCTCAAGAGTTGGAGAGTATGAGCAATCAGGCTATTGTTTCAGAATCTTGTTCGGATTCGTCAAATGATGAAAATGACACCGTTGATAATTCATTAAATTTGATGGCTGCATCTGTCTGTTGTGTTTCACCAAGTGCTACATATAGGCGCAGCATCAACTCTTGGCAAAAGGGAGAAATCCTTGGGAGTGGATCTTTTGGGACTGTCTATGAAGGCTACACGGAGTAAGAGTTATTTATTATATTGATTATCTTGTGCATCTTAATGAGTTAGTGAAGCTAACAGCGCAAATGATTTTACGAGCTAAGAAAAATGTGAATATAGTTTGTTTAATATAGATAGAAGCTGGAATCATGATAGAGATCTTGGTTCTAATTACTTCCAACTGGAAATGGGAGAAAGCAGAATGCATTTGGTTGGGGCTTTGATCAAAAAAATTGGTAGGACTATATTTGCGCTAACCATCCTAACTTGTAAATAGATGCCTAAGGCCCTTTGTCCTTCAGCAATCTATTTTGCCAGTTTCTCGTCAGTTTTGTGTATTAAGTGTAAATTTCTCCAAAATAACACGATTGCTGGGTATCCCTGTTTGTCTAACTGAAAGAGTGCATGCCATCTACTTTTCCATTTCTACCTGCTATCTTTGTTTCCTTTATTAATTTAAATAACCAGTGTCCATTTAATTCCTCTTCTAGAGGGGGAAAAAATTGTCTTTTGTTGAATCGAAGGAAGGATTAATTTATTTCTTATGTCATCTCTTATGATGTTCCCCATCTTGCAGTGATGGGTTATTTTTTGCTGTAAAGGAGGTTTCTTTACTTGATCAAGGA